AGCTTAAATATTTATAGTAATGATCATTTTATCTAATTTATTTTATTTAGTGTATATTTAGCAACATATAACTAAATTTGATATATGCAGAATGGAATACAATATACCAGAAATCCCGTGTTAAAATTATAATGAAGCAGCATTACCATCTTATTTTATTAGTTGTTTTGAATGGAAAATAAATGAAAAGTTTTACCAGTTTATTAGTATTAAGGAAAATGTAGATATTAACCTATTTCGTCAACTTTTGGATGGATTATACGAGGTTGTATTTTTAATTTTAAATTTTTTTTTGCTAAATTAATTATTTTATTAAATATTTTATTTAGGGTAATTCAGATGAACCAGTAAATAATTGTTTTATATTATTATATAATAATTCAAAAAAAATTATATATCGTAAGTTTTAAAATGAATATTAATTTAATATTAAATTAAAAACAATTTATTTATAATTTTATTTATTTTAGCATATCCACATTATACAGGAAATATTATTAAACAAAGATCTATAATTCGAAAACAATGTGAAGTTAAATATTACAAAATAATTCCATTAGATATAGAAAAATGCTCATATATGATTCTTGTATCTAAAGTTATTTATTCTCACCCACTACCTTCACCTAACCATGTGCCAATTACTATTCATGCTTGGTTACAAAAATTAATTTACTAAGCAAATAATGATACCATAGATGTTACACTAACTCATATTATATTAGGTAATTTTAATATTAAATTTTATTAGAAAATTTATTTATTTTAAACATAATTTAATTTAATTATAAATGCTTTTTATTTATTAGGAAATCTTATTAAAACATATTTTGGCACTAAGTATCTTGCTAACATTCATACTTCATTAAATAATACTGATCATTGTTACGTCTGATTTGTAACTCAAATAAAATTCACAAAAATTAATAATGCTAAGACTAAACTCAGGAAATCATAATGAAGATTCATAGTAAACGTCAAAGTTATTCTCAATTACATACAAGTAACTTCTGGATATTTGAGATTACGTTTCAGTAACTACACTTTAAGTCAATACAACGAATCAATACAATATCACGTAAAGTTAATAAACAATAATAATATATACACAGGTAAAAGGTTTGCGAAGGATAAGTTTTAACTTGGTTAATTATACTCTTTATTAATAATATATGTAAGTTCTTTATCTCATAAGGTATCAAGACTTAATAAAAATACACTGATATTTATACATGTTTGATAATTATAAAATGAACTAAACTAAATATATCTATGAAAAATAAATGATATCATTAAGAAAATAAAGTTAACAAAATTGATCAGCAAAGATAATCATGTCAATAAAGTTGCCTGTTACACTGAAAATAAAATTGACATCTGGATCTACATTGATTATCTCAGGACATAAAGTTGACATCAGGATCAACGAGATGATAAACAAGGACATTTAATTGACATTGGATTTGTAATCAGATTTCAGCTAAAATTTTATACTGTTACATTGTCTTTGATATTATGTTGATAAAATCCAAAAAGAAATTCATCCCTAGGGTTATGGAATTCTTGAAGTTATTTACAATTATGCATGAAATATTAATAATTTCTGTAAATATGTGAAACGTTTAGGTAAGATAAATTAAAGTATTAATTTAAAATATCATTATTAAAGTTATTAATTAATAATTATTATATTTTATATTCATTATAATTTTTGAAGATAATTATATAATGATTATTTATACTACTTTTGAACAATTGTCTGAATGGGTAAAAGTTAAACACTTCTAAATAGATCTTTTATTTAAATGCGTAGCAGGGTAAATAAATGAATTTGAAGTTAATTATTATAATTCACAACATAATTTAAGTAAGTTAATTTGATTAAATACAATTTTCATAAAAAAATTATATATTAATTTTAATTTTTTATATTTTTATTTTTAATAATTTTAGTCCTTACATTTGCTCGGGTCTTTACTAATTGTGCAACAACTATTGCATATCAAAAATTTTTTGTGCATTATTTGATCTTGTATTTCAATTAATGGATTCATTTTCTCAATTTAAACATATTCATAAAACTGGATGGGGTTGCATAATTGGAGATTTAGATTATGCATAAGCAAAAGGTTTGGGATTAATATTAAATGAAATAGATGTAATAAAAGACTAGAAAGAGCATTTAATTCATATTTTCAAGTCATGTCATATACATTATAAGAGGTAAGAGTAGGATTTAATTTGCTTATTTAATTATTATTATTATTAATATATTTAACAATTATGTTGTATGATATTTATTATACAGAAAAATTCAAGAAAAACATTATGATAATAGTGTAAAAAATGATATATATGCACTTCTTACAGTTAAATCGGAAAATGCAATTAATAAATTATTTGATAATATTCAAATAATTGAAAGTATCGCAGGTTAGTAAAAAAATATAATTTTTTTATAATACTAATTTAAAATTTTTATAAAAATACTTATTTACTTTTTTATTAGATTGGATAATATTTTATAGACAGCGATGGGTCATTATATCATTAAATAAATGTATATCAAAAATTGACAGTGAAATATGAATGATTTCGCCTAATAATACTAATGTTGCATTAAGTAATCATTATGGAAAGGGTCTTAAATTGGTAACTACCATTATTCAGTATATATTAATATAAATATATTTATATTATAATGATTTTATTTGGTTTAAAAAATGTTTATTAATATTTATTGTTTATTATTATCAAGGTAAAAAATTAGATAAAGAAAGATTTACAGTCATTTATAATTATCAAAAATATAATGTGCCTAATCGTGAATGTGATAAAAGTCCTATCATACGAAATGTATAATTAAATAAACGTAAAGGTAATATTATAATACATTAAAATATATTTTAAATTAATTAATATTGAATTCTAATTACATTATTTGATTTATTTATGCATTAGCTCTTATACAAATTAAGAAATCAAATATTTTAAAATCAAAGTCAATGCCTGTAAAGCATAAACAAAATGTGCAATCTGGTAATAAGAAAAAAAGTAGAAAAACTATTATAATTGATTCTGATACTGAGGTTGAAAATGAAGATGATGGTAAAGAGAATAAGTTGACTTCAATATTTAATGAACTTGAATATTGGAAGAAAGATTTAGCTCTTAAAGAGTATGAACTTGTTTTAAAGGAATGTGAAGCTAAAATTCGTGTAATAGAATTGACTAATCTTGAAAAAAAGCGCTAATTGAAATTAATTAATACTAATTAAGCAATAATTTTTAATTAAGTTGATTACGAAAAGTTTAAGAAATATAATAAAATTGATCATTTATTTCTAATGAAATACTTAATTAAATAATATCACAACTCAACTTTAATTATAATAAGGCAGTTGAGTATAAATATATATAAATATGAAGCATACTCTACTTCTTTCTAATACTAATATATATACAGATAAGTATAGTAAATTTTTTGAATTATACTCAATAGCTTTTCACGTGACATACTATACTTATCACCTCCACCTGACTCCACTCCTTTTTGTAATACCTATTAATTTGAGGAATGGTTTTCTTATTTGTCACTCAGACGCCACCTAATTTATCCCCTTAATGGTTTTGCAGGCAAATTTGCCTGCAATTTTGAAAATTAATAATTGATCGCCAAAAAAAAAGAATCATCTGACACCTGAGACAATCGTTTATTAATATAAATTAGTTACTTTTGTCAAGATCTATTAATCCATTAATAATATTTGAATATTTTATCATAAATATTTTTTTATTTTGATAGTGACTTAGACTCAAATTAATATCTAATAAAATGAGTTATTTAATTATTTTATTTAATAAAATGTTAGTCGTGCTATTAAAGCATTATTTTTATTATTATTATTTTTTTCAATAAATAATATATTGCAGAATCTGCAGAACTTAATTTTACCAATCCTTATTATTTTCCATTTACCTTAAAATAATTTTAAATAATTGAGTAGAAATGTTTGTTTTTTTTAAAAATCAAATTTTCTGTTTCTTTTCTCAGCCTAATCATTGGAAAATGTTATATGAAAATGTTATATTTTTTAAAAGTTTTTAATTGGTCTTTGATGGTTTCTAAATAAATATCAAAAAAGAATTTAGATGAATTAGTAAAAGTTTGAAGTGAAGATTAATTAAAATTGATTAAAAATGCAAGCAAATTTGTCTGTAATTTTAACAAACTTGATTAATTTTTAATTCAAAATTTTACTAATTAACCTAAATATTTTTTAATATTTATTTAGAATATATTATATCATATATTTTATTCTAAAATATTATTTTTAAAAATAATAGATTTTAAAGCAATTTTATTAAAGAAATTTATCAATATTTAGTATTTTTAATAATACTAAATATTTCTCTTTAACAAAAATTTTTAAAGTAAAGCTTTTTTGTAAATTTAATAT